GGGCTTACGTGGAGAGCAAATGTTTTGAGAATGATGAGGGTAACGAATGTACAAATGTGCTTTATACAATTGATGTATGTATGGATTGTGATAAGGGTTGTATGAGCCCCCAATAAAATGATTTTTAAAAAAACCCACCAGAAAAAGAAGTTTCATACTTAGACATTGTTTTTTCTTGCTATCCAGATATCGACGGTTCATCTGTCCTAATGGAAACGTTCATTTCATCGATTATAAACGAGAAGCGTAGGGCCATCTCTGGAGAGGTCAACCGAGACGGTCGTTCTAATGTAGTCTCTTGCTCTAGGTTTCCCTGGCACCAAAAGCATAGCTGAGCAAAGGGGACCATGGAGCACATGAGCGTCATGCACACGAGCAAGCAGATCCGCAGGGTGGCAGTTGTGCAGATACTGTTTCACACGTCCCGTGGTCAATGTAGCCTAGGGTTTTTTAAAAAATAGGCTAAAGTCATAGAGAGATTTCTGATAAGATTGATTTATTTGGCTAAGAAATACCTGAACCTATTTTTAAAAGGGAGAACACCCAGGGTTACTGCAACATACTCACTGAAATGTGAGAACGCTGGCGGACATCTGGCAGGTGCCATTAGTTGAGACAATGCAGGAGGAGTTGAACCACAACAGCCAATTAAACATTCTGAATCTAGGCTTAATTCTTTGATTTGTCAGAAAGGTTACACACCACACAAAGGCCATTTATACACCAAACACTGAAAAGAGGATTACCACTGCCTCGTTTTATTTCGGTGACAAACAGCTCTCCACAAACTTCAGCCCCTAGGTCACAAACACACGCTTGGCCCCACCTTGTCATTCGTGGTTTGCAGCATGATTTCCCCGGAGCTCTTTTTGAAACCCATTCAACATGCAATCAGCACAATAGCAACTCTGGCAGAAATCCTCCTATATACACAATGGAAACAAAAATAAACAGAAAAGATTCCTGAGTTCCGCAAGTGATAACTGTGTGTCACAGTTCTTTCCCGGCAGCAGCGGGGCAGGCACCAGTTTGGCTAACGCTGTCTTCTAGGATGGCCTTCTTATTTCGGACGGTGGCACAATTGACTGGCCTGTCATTGTCTCTGCTGGGGTGGGTTTTAGCCTGTCTTACCAACTACCTGCCACAATGGAAAAACCTCAACCTGGACTTAAATGAGATGGAGAACTGGACCACGGGACTCTGGCAGACCTGTGTCATCCAGGAGGAAGCGGGCATGCAATGCAAGGACTTTGACTCTTTCTTGGCCTTGCCGGCCGAACTCAGGATCTCCAGGATTTTAATGTTTCTGTCCAACGGACTGGGGTTGCTGGGCCTGCTGGCCGCTGGGCTTGGCCTGGACTGCCTGCGAATTGGAGAGAGGCAGCGGGCTCTTAAGAAGCGACTGCTGATCCTGGGAGGAGCCCTGCTCTGGACCTCGGGGCTGGTCGTCCTCGTCCCAGTCTCCTGGGTGGCCTACATCACGGTGCAGGAGTTTTGGGATGAGAGCATGCCTGAGATTGTCCCCAGGTGGGAGTTTGGGGATGCCCTGTTTCTTGGCTGGTTCGCTGGATTTTTCCTGATACTCGGAGGGTCTCTGCTGAACTGTGCCGCCTGCTCAGCCCAAGCCCCTCTGGCTCCCGGCCACTATGCAGCGGCCAAGGGGCAAGATCATCGTCAGCAACTGGAGATGAGAAACACCAACCTGAAAATCTAAGCTGGAAGCTTATCAGTGGTACCTTATTTAAGTGGCCTGCTCTTTCCTGGGTTGGGTAGGAGTTACAGCTAACAGTCACCCATTCTCTATGCTTTATATTGTGTAAAAATGCACCCCCCCTACCCACCTGTGGCAATGAGGTTTTTAAACAACTGTAATTTCTTCTGCAGGCTGGTAAACCATTTTTACCTTCTGCTTCGAGCCCCAAAAGCCAATCGAGACGTAATAGTCATCATACTTATTACCGTAGATGAGTTTTCTGTTTTAAAATAGGCTCAGTGATTACACAAGGCTGGTAAATAAAACATTCTATTAGTCCTTATTTAGCATTAATGGTGTTATTCATATGGAGATGATGCGTGTTGGCAATTGGATGTTATTGCTGATCATTTATTTCTTTCAAGTGTTGGAGATAACCTATTATCGCGAAGCCCAAGTCTCGCTAGATTTATTTAACGTGCATGGCGTCAGATTAGACTACACAAATCACCTGCTCTTTAAAAGCCTGGGAAGTGCAAGGCCTGGGATGCATCTCCTCTCCTTCTACCAGAGACCCTGGGGCCGCAGGATCTTCTTTCCAAAAGGCTGCCACAGCCACTCAGGCCTTGTTGACTACCACAGAGGCCGAGGAGGGGAGCCTCGTGCTTTTGAAGGTGTGTGTGAAATTGGCCGGCACAGGGCTGTCTTTGCTTCTCTGACTGGAACGCGTGATGGCCAGTGCCAGCACCTGCCCTGGTGGGGGACCGGCCACTGGGGGTGGCCTGGGCTGGGACCCATGTCTTGGCAGAGGGCTGTGAGGACCGGCGCCCCTCGTGACCCTGGGCGCACTGAGGCTGAGTGAGGGTACAGTGCAGTTTCGGGAAACTTTGCATTTTATTTGCACAGCGAGCCAGGGTCTTCCTTTTATAAAATCAGCAAAACATGGCATCTGAGCAAGAACTGCTCACTCCCCGCTGCTGGGTCGGGGAACTGTCATGAAGGATTTTATATTTATTCCGAATATGGTTTGAGAAAACGCTTGTGCGTGGGCCGATCAGGGAAAGCATTTGAATAATAAATGACACTAAAAGAATTAGGTAATATGCAGCTTTGTTTCTTTTTTGTGTGTGTGGGGGGAACCCACTGAAATTTTCCATCCACAAACAAATGGAAAGTACAGAAACCAAAGTTAATCTACATGATGTATTTGCATACTTTTATAAACAAGACAAATTATAACAGAAACATGTTCAAGAATTTAACCTGATTAAATATTTAGTTCAGTCCTGAGCTTTTGATATTTAATACAATATAGATATAGCAATAGCAAAAAAAATATTAAAATTTGATTTACATGCTACAGAGTTGCAGCTAAACTGTGTTCATTTGATGAGTATTCTTTTTGTACCTGTAACATTCAGATTCTGATATACAAAACTGTAATAGTCTACTGGTAATGCAAAGCTGAGAACTAAGTATAACCTTCTTTTCACCTTGTGCAGAATAAATTCTACCTTTAAAAACAGTATTTATAATATTAAAATTCATATTTATCCATATGGTTTTGTGATCAAGTTATTAAAATGTTTTGTGAATCACTGGGGTTAGTACAAATAACGATAGAGTGTTAAAAGCTGCCTATAAATACATAACATATTGCTGATGTTTAAAGGTATGGACAACGGGTTATATTAAAATAAGCTCGTCCCTCATGCTAGAAATGAGCACATTTTGCAAAATAAAACCTAGACCTTGGTCCCAACTATTAACTACCAGCCTGAGACAGATTTTATTCTTTAACACTTTGTCTGAAACATTTTTTTTATTAAAAAGGAAAAAAGTGAACAGCTAGTCTGATGAAGATTTATAAAGCTGTAAATATTTCCAAGATAGCCTCTTCTATGTCAAAACACTTAAAAATGGCCAGACCGAATTATATATTAAACAGAACATAAATAAGACCGTAAATAAATAAATGAAGAAAATAAGATCGAACAGCACTACACATAACTATTTTCATAGCCAAACTTAAAAGCTGAGACAGCTGACCTTCATTTACCTCTACATTAAATAAACTTCAGAATGTCTGTCTTTCACATTTCACCTTGACTGACTGGTATTCTCTCTGCTTTACTTCAGGCGTCTAAGCAGGTAGCCTGGGCCGCCCTGAGGGACTATACTCAGTCAGTTCCCCCGGGTGGGTTTCTCTTCATAGTGTCATATCCAGTTATATCTTCCAAGGCATCTGCATACAGGAGGTGGGAAATTTATGCAGGGGAAAAAAGCATGGTTCAATGGTCTTCATTAATTAAAGTGGTAGGCTCAGATATTGCTGAATTTGAATTTGATTCTGAACAAATGAACTTCCTGAAAAATGTATAATCACTTTTGGAAAACAACCACCTGGCGAGTGAGGATTCTTCGAGCTTAGGAACAAAACTTTTAAGAAGCTCCTTCTTTGAAGTTTTTTTAAAAAATTTGCTACGGTAAGGTGGTTAACCAAAAAACGTCTTCTTCCAGCATGAGACTGAGCACTGCGTGTGCGTCACGGCACAGAAAGGCTACTTTTGGAAGCCCTGGCCGGGCCACACTGAGGCGCAGCTTCTTGAAGCCCTGCCCTGGAGAAGCGGAAATTCGAAACCAGAGGACACTTGGTTTTCATCTCTAGCTGTGTTCGTCTGAAGCGGGTTGGATGGCTGCTTTATAAACTGTTCGGCTTAGACCCAAATCAACAGCCCAGTCATACTATTCTCTGGGCATCCCAACTCTTGGCCGTAAATTACAGATGGAATCCCCTACCAATGGGAGCTGCACAGTAAAGTTCTAGGAAACGCTAGAAGTCCATTTGATAAAGTATTGCTTTATTTTTGGCAATTCTGGCTCCGCCAAGATTCTTTTCTGCTTGTTCCCAGTTTCACCAAATGAGCCCCTAAGCGTCTGTCCCGTGGGTACCACGCTCGGACACACACCAGACACCCACGCTGGGGCACATGTGCAAGCTCAGACGGCTCCCCTGCTGGCTCGGGCGTGGGTTTTAGGGACACCGCTTCCCTTCTCTGGGCTCCCACCTCCAGCGCAGCCAAGCACCGTTGAGTCACGGGCCCAGGAGTGTAGGATGCTCCTTTGCGTTTCTATATTCCTGCGTTCGGTCTGTCAAGTGTTTGTTTTCTTTAGACAAATCTCAAAGGACACAGAGGACAACGTTTTCAGGAACCAAAGGGTTCCTTGACAGGTGACAGGTGTGGTACCATCCACGGTTCCGGTGGATGTGGCGCTCTGTCAGGAAGCTCCGCATGGCCGTAGCTGCCCTGTGGGCACAAGGAGCGCATGGCACTGCCGCCACCTTCACAGTGGACTCACCCGACAGAGGAAATGCCAAAGCCCCTCTGCCGAACAAGCGGTGCCTGCCCAGGCCGCTCAACAGGGCAGCCTGGTGCCGCCCGCTGCCAATCTGATCCCTCGGCCCAGCGACAAAGCACACACGTTGTATGTTTGTGTACCAGATTACTCTGCTTGCATTATCTGATTTACGGAGAGAAAGGGAGGGGGTAATACAAATTACATTCAAGGTACTTTACAAATTAATCAGTTGAAAATGTGATGTGAAAATACAAGCTCTTTAAGAGCTGACAGTTATGTTACAAACCAAACCAAAGGATCGCTCTTTCACGCTCCCAAAACAAGTGAGCGGTTGAAAAACAGAATGTCTCAAATGATGTAATTATACATCATCAGCCGGCAGGGAAGGAATGCTGATCTTTGCTCGGGTGAAGTAGGCAATCTTCTCCCTAGAATCAACGGGAGAGAGAAACCAGCTTTAGTATCACACTGAACGTATGGTCAAGAGAAGTGTCGCCAAGAATGTCCAGGGCGTCTCTGCACACACAGCTTTCACATCGGTCCTTGGCTAGAACGCTTGCGCTCAGGGTCGGTGTGACCTCTTAAAATCAGGCTAGGTGTCATGTTTTGTTTATCTATTCATCTATTGATATGTACTTGGGATTACTTCCATAAAGGGAATTCCAAAGAAACTAATTTTAGTGTTTTTAAAAATCATTTTATTGGGGACTTGTACAGCTCTTATCGCAATCCATCCATCCATCCATTGTGTCAAGCACATTTGTACATATGTTGCCATCATCATTGTCAAAACATTTCCTTCCTATTTGAGTCCTTGGTATCAGCTCATTTCCCCCCTCCCCCACCCTCCGTCCCTCATGAACCCTTGATCATTTATAATTTTTTTCATGTCTTATACCTACCGCTGCTTCCCTTCACCCATTTCTCTGTTGTCTGACCCCCTGGGAGGGGGTTATATGTAGGTCATTGTGATTGGTTCACCCTTTCTCTCCTTACCTTCCCCTTCCCCTTCTGGTATCACTACTCTCATTATTAGTCCTGAGGGGTTTATCTGTCCTAGATTCCATGTTTCCAGCTCTTATCTGTACCAGTGTACATGCTCTGGTCTAGCCAGATTTGTAAGGGAAAATTTGGGCCATGATAGTGAGGGGAGGAAGCATTAAAGAACTAGAGGAAAGTTGTATGTTTCATCAGTGTTATACTGCACCCTGACTGGCTCTTCTCTTCCTTGTGACCCCTCTGTAAGGGGATGTCCAATTGTCTACAGATGGGCTTTGGGTCTCTACTCCACACTCACCCACATTCACATTGATATGATTTTTTTCCCACTCTGCACTCCCCCTCAATCACATTGATAAGATTTTTTGTTCTGGGTCTTTGATGCCTGATACCTGATCCCATCAACACCTCATGATCACACAGGCTGGTGTGCTTCTTCCTTGTGGGCTTTGTTGCTTCTCAGCTAGATGGCTGCTTGTTTATCCTCAAGCCTTTCAGATCCCTGATGCTATATCCCTTGATAGCAGGGCACCAGCAACTTTATTCACCACACTTGCTTATGCACCCATTTTGTCTTCAGCGATTGTATCGGGAAGGTAAGCATCACGGAATGCCAGGTTATTAGAACAAAGTGTTCTTGCATTAAGGGAGTACTTGAGTCATGGCCCAATGTCCATGTACTACCTTGATACTTAACATATAAATATATGTACATTGATCTGTTTCTCTCATTAAATATAAATATATTTACATATGTACATGCCTGTATTTAGACCTCTGTAAGTGTCCTTTGCCTCTTGGTTCTTTCCTCTATTTCATTTTACTTTCATCTTGTCCCACTATCATGCTAAGCCTTCATTTGGGTTTCAGTAATTCCTCTTGGCTTCATTGCCCTTGATCAAGCCCTGCCAGGCCTCCCACACCCTCCTCCCCATTGATTTTAGATCACTTGTTGTTCCTTTGTCCCTGGGTTTATTGACACCCCCCTACCTTTCCCCCACCACCCCCTGTCCTGTGTCCCACTGGAACTGTTGGTCCTGTTGTTTTTTCCTCTGGATTGTTTATCCAGCCAATCTTATCTAGACAGACATGCAGAGACAAGAGTAAGGACAAAAATAAGACAGAACAAGAAGAGAAAACAAAACAACAACAAAAAAACCAATGACAAAAAAATAAAAACCTATAGTTTGTTGACCTTTTGGAGTGCTTTCTGATCGACTCTGGTGGGTGCCATGCCCTGGCCCCAAGGTCTATTTTTGTTATTCTCTGGGGACCTCATTGCTTTGCTTCCCTTGCTGCTCCATTGCCTGTCCTTAACGTTTCTCTCCGGTATGGTGGGGTCAGATTGGGCACAATTCCTGCACTGTGTCCCTCTGGGTTTTCTCTTAATCTCAATGAATGGCCAGTCACTTTTCTTTGCAAACATACCCCTTTGTCTATAATCCTCTCAAATGATTTAATTCAGAAATGATTAACTGCATTTTGGTCTGATGAGTACAACAGTGTAGAAACATGGTCCATCAGTTAAAAATATTAAGAAAAGATAAAGTGGGACATGAAGAAGAACGGCAGCTCCTACTGATGGCGCATCACCCCTCCATCCACCAAGCCTGCATGTTCCCTTCCACATGTCCAGCGTCAGCTCTCAAACCCTCAGGGGCGCAGGGTGGGCTTGAGTGTTTCTCAGTCCTACAGGGACCTTCCTCAGGGACTTCTCTGAAAGTTGTCCTCACTCAAGTGAGGTGAGAAGAGGGGGCTTGACTGTGCGAAAGGTTACAAATTCTCCTCCTAAAGCGGAGTTGAGTAGAAACCACCTGAATGGGAGAAGGAGAGAGAGAGAGAGAGGTGGTGTTGGGGGTGGGGTGGGGGGCAGTAGCTCACTTTCCAGAGATTCGGGGACCGTCACAATGAAGATGACCGAGATGACCAACGACCGGGGCAGCATCTTGGTCTCCAAAGGACCCACCACATATTTACTCCGGGTCTGTTAGGAGGCGCACGTAGGGAGCGGTAAAGAGGAGTAAGGCGCTGGCCCCCCTTGAGGAACCAGCAGTCTCATGTGGGGTTCGAAACAGGAACCGGGATGGAGGAGAACAGGACGAGTGAAAAATCCGTGGAAGTCGAAATGAGAGGGACTTCGGTGGTGTGGTGCCCTTTCAATTGGTTGAACTCCCCACAAGATCAGAGTAGGATGGAAAAGGGCAAGGGCCTGTGGGTGTGAGGTCAATGGCAGCTTCAAGTTGAAAGCTGGGGGCCCTTGCCCTGAACACAGTCTGTGGACAGGTCTTCTCTGACTCACGGGGAGTTCTTACACTCGGATGAGCTGCTTCCCCTCACACAGTCAGGCTGGCCAGCACTGGGCAGGGTGGTCCCCAGGGGGAGAAGCAGCTGGGTGTTACCAGGCCAGGGTTGAGGCAGAATGCCCCACACCCCACCACCCCAGCCCCACCGCAACCAGCCATCAGTGGGCAAGCCCTGCCCTCAGGTGCGGCCATCACCACGCTCTCATCACCTGCCTGGCTAGAGAGGCCAGTCGATGGATCGGTGTCATGGCAGCGGGTGTGTGGGGCTGGGTGGGTGGGTGTGACTGGTGAAGCCTTTGAGTTTTAATAACAATTTTGGCGCAATCTTGGTTACTCTTCAAGATGACCCAGATACCAAGGGCATGAAAAGATTCCTTTCACCACTCTATAGTTTTAAAACCCCGCCCTTCTGAAAAGAAACAACAGTGATCGCTGAGCAGAACCCAGGAAGGCGCTTTACTTCAGAATCTTACGTACACAAGAGCAGTTCAGCCCATTGTGTCTCCGTCTACTTCCGGAGTCACTCAGCCTCACACTCACCTCCAACCTCTGCGGCACCCACTCCCGACCCTTCCCAGCCACGCTGCTTATCAAGGGCCCTGCCCTCCCCAAACGCCACGGCACTCTCTCCTCTCTGGTTTTTCTCGCTCCCTTTTCTAGCTTGTTGTTGAGATTGAGTTTGTGTGTCACCCTTTAGGTTTGGACTCTGGAGGGATGGCTTCCCTCTCTCAAGCCCAGAAGCTTTCTGAAGGCTGCCCCGCGCCACGGGCATTCACACGGGCGGGCGGGCGGCACGGTCAACACCAGCGGGAGGACACCTGTGGAAGAGGCCATTTTCACGTAAGCTGCTGCCTCCCCTCGTCTTCCTTTTGCCTTCCCAGTTTGGGGGAAGTTCCCGTTTCCAATACAGACCAGCTTTCCAGCCTCGATGGGTCTGCTCGCGTCCCGGACGGTCAGAGGTGTCTCCTCACCCTGTGAAGGGGAGCCTTTCCCTCCCCGCTCTCTGGTGCAACCAGGACAGTACCAACCATCTCCTCCTTGCCCTCCAGACCCAGGCCCGTCCTGCTTTGGTTTGTCAATCATCTTTGGATGCTGGGCATCTCTCTGTGGGGGCCTCTGAATGTTTTGGGGGCCAACAACCCGGGCCCAATTCCAAGTCAGCTGCTTGTTCTGAGAGTCATTTCCATGGATTTAAGCGCTACCTTGAGGAGGAAGATGCCCAGTCTTTACCTCCTGCTCAGCCCTTAGCCTTGGTCTTGGGTTAGTTCCATGAGTCTACTGGCCACTGTTCCCTGGGCAGTCTACTGAACACTGAACACTGGCCACTGTTCCCTGGGCAGTCCCCTATGCAACTTTTAACCTGCTCTGCTCGCAGGCTCTGCTCAGCCTGCTGCCCCCACAGCGGCCGCTCCTCCAGTACTGTGGGTCGTGATCTCCGGCCCCACAGCACCTACCTACACCCCTCCCGGGTCACACCTCTGCCAACTCATTGGTCTCCCCCTTACAGGACTCTGTCTTGGCGACTCTCCACTCAGCTCTCTGGGAAAAAAAAAAAACAACCACTAAAAACCAAACCAAACTCACTGCCATTGAGTAGATGCCGACTCACAGTGACCCTATAGGGCAGGGTAGAATTGCCCTGTGGGTTTCTAAGAGTGTCACTCTTTATGGGAGCAGAAAGGCCTTTCTCCTGTGTTGCGCTGGAAACGTAATCTACTGACCTTGCAGGGAGCCATCGGATACATAAGGGCTGTGCCCCTAGAACTTTCCATAGCGCCTCCCAAATCTATCCTCACCACTGCAAGACCCTTAGAGTCTAAAACCAAGTGAAAAACGAATAGCACAGCACACAAAGCCTTATTGCAGGCTCAGCCCCAAGCTGCCCTCTGGCCACCTGCACTACCCACATGGCGCTTCTCCCCGCGCCAGTGCCCTTCTCACTCCTACCACCTGACGCCTGAAACACTCACTCATCCTTCCAGGGTAAGTCCAGAGGCTGCCCCTCTTAGAAGCTTATCTCAGCTGCTTCTGCAGCCATCGATACCTGCCCCCACGCCACCTCAGATTCTTCTACATCCTCACAGGCTCCTACTCTTGTCTTTACTTGGCCTCTCCCCTCCGCACTGCCCCTGCCCTTCCGCACCCACTGCACCAGAGCAGGACGCCCCTGCCCTTCCGCACCCA